TTTTTCTTTGTAATCATTGGAATTAAAAATTTGATACATAAGTTCTGCATGGTGTTCCTGATTTGATTTTATATTTCTTTTTAATCCATATGTTCTGGATGAACTCAATTTTCCAAAATAACACCATTCAATTTTAGAGACAAAATATCATTTAAAGATTTTAATTAACCAGTTCACAGAATAACGATATTATACTGGCAGACGCATCGCCCAATACAACAAGACGGGTTTGTGAAACACTGATGCCCCCGTATGAACATAGCAAAGATTAAACTTTTCTTAAATGCAAATTTAATTAATTGGTACCAGAGGTAGGGTCCACTCACTGGAAAACAATTATGAAATTTGAAAGTAAGCCAATGTTAAAGTTTTTTCAATAAGTGCAAAATTCTCCAAGGTCAAGGTCAAAAGGTCAATGTAATTGGTATCAAATGAAAGATCTTGCCACATAGAATACTTATGTAGAGCATGAAAGCCCTAGCCCTAACCGTTCAGAAGTTATGGCCAAGGTTCAATTCTTTAAAAAGTAGGTCAAACTCCAAGGTCAAAGGGTCAAACTTCTTGTTAACAAGTGAAAGTTCCTGTCACAAGGATTAAATATATAAAGTATGATGTACTAGCCCTAACCCTTTAAAAGTTATGGTCAAGGTTTGCTTTTTAAAGTAGGTCAATCTCCAAGGCCAAAAAGTCAAAGTTCTTGGTTTTCAATGAAAGGTCTTCTTACAAGGATTACATATATGAAGTATGAAAGCCCTATTCCTTACCGTTCAAAAGTTATGGCCAAGGTTAAAGTTCTTTTCACAAATACGGAAATCTACAAGGTCAAGGTCAAAGGGTCAATGTTGTTGGTATCCAATGAAAGGTCTTTCAACAAAGAATAAATTTATGAAGTATAAATGTCCTGGTATTTACTGTTTAAAAGATATGGTTTGATATGGTCTGTTGAAAACAATTTTTCAAAATGCTACTCCTCCTACAATTTTGTTCTGGTTTCAGTATAACTTGGCACACAAGTATACTACACTAAGATACATAATTCGGTGTACGGTTTTTGATTTCGATGAACGGTGTTGGCGTGGTTACTAAAATAGAAATTTCTGTGAAATACTTTTAAAATGCTACTCCTTCTACATGTTTGGTCTGATTTTCATATAACTTCGCACACAAGTAGACTACACTATGATACATTATTCTGTATATCGGTTTTTGATTTCAGATTTCGATGAACGGTGTTGCCTTGGTTACTATAAATAAGAATTTTTGTGCAATGCTTTCAAAATGCTACTCCTCCAGACCTTGTTTTACTTTGATTTCAATATAACTCGGCACCAGAGTAGACTACACTAAGAAACATAATTCTATGTATCGGTTTTTGATTTCGAAGAACGGTGTTGCCGTGGTTACTAAAAATAGAAATTTCTGTGAAATACATTTAAAATACTACCCTCCTACAGTTTTAGTCCTATTTCAATATAAGTTGACACACAAGTAGGCCTAGACTTTACTAAGATACATAATTCTGTGTATCAGTCTCTGATTTTGATGAAGGGTGTTGCCGTGGTTATTAAAATTGAAAATTCTTTAAAATTATATATTAAAAGCTACTCCTACAGTTGTAGTCTCATGCAATCTTGCCACAAAAAGAAACGTAATCTAGGATCATTGTTCTATTTATTGCTTTTGTAAAGTTTTATGTCCCAAATGATACTTTTCTGTTCCTTTATTATTAGTACAAACCAGTAGAGCTACAGTCTCGACAGAGACTTCTGGTTCATTAAAATAGATAAAGGAATATTAAAGGAAATATAGAAATACCAGGTGTAATTGAAGAATTGGAGTTTTGATATTTTGGCAGTGAATCATTTTCTGCCGATCGGTATAAGTTGTAAACAATGCTTTGAATGATGCCAAGGATTTGTCTGAAATTAAATTAGTTTAGAACTAAAAAGGCTTGTATATTAGAGTTTCATGGGAAAATAATAAGTTCTCTTTTCCCTATACATGTATTTTCCAGTAAAGTAAACACGCGTCTAATTCAAAGAGTTCCAATAATTGAAATCAAACTTATTGTTTTCTTTACTTGCAGATAAATTTTCCACTCTTTAACTTTTCAGTCTCTTATTGTGTGGTGCACTATGGATTTGAAGTCATTGCTTGCATTTCTTGATTTAAAAAAAATGATCTGAACTCCCCCTTTCTAGGCACAAAACAGTATTGCTTATGATTACAAGAAATTCTAAATCAGTCTTTAAAAACCTTTCCATTTTGTTTAATTAGCTAATATTTACCAGATTTTTGAGTTGTTTTTTCTTCAAATTCTGGGGAGAATCTACCCTTATGGAAAAAATGACAAAAATGTGACTCTACATATAATTTTATTAACATCAAAATACAAAACCACAAAATTAGATATATTTTGTTCATAACAGTCCCAACCTTATGCAGGTTTCATCAGAGGAATGAAATTTTTTCACTCTCTGAAACAGTACTAGCTTGCAGCAGGGTGGTGTCATCAATTAAGATAGTCACAGCTTTCCAGACATTGATGTGACATTCCTCAATTTCATTCATCAGTATTGGTAAGTATACCCTTTTTAAGGTCTTTGAAAATTACAAAATTGAGTAATTCTGAGATAGGTAAATACTGGCATGTAGGTAATGGAATGAGAGTACCAAATCCACGAACGAAAGCGTGGCTTTGTTTGCTAATGGAATGTTGTATGCAGTACTGAATGGGTAGGCGTTACCTAATTGGCTGAATTGACGTATTTTCCCCCATTTTAAAGTGAAAATATGAATGTTTGAAATAATTGTGGAAATGTAGGAATATCTCAGGAAACATAGAAATACCAGGGGAAATTTTAGGATTGAAGATTGAGCAAAGCGTCATTTATCGGTATAAGTTTAATACAGCTGCAATTTTGTGTAAATGTTAATATCTCAAAAAAGGAAGTGACTTCATCAGCGAAAAAAACCAATATAAGGTTCAGATCAATACAAATCAGAAATGAAATTTTCATGAAAATCAAATGAGCCGTTTCTGAAAACTCGCGTGCACAAAATAAGTTATATCTAGGAGACTTATTGTTCAAAGAACAATAAGAGGTCTTTCCACCTTTTGAATTTCAATTTCATTTATAATTTATCTCTTTAAGATTAAATTTCAAAAAAAAAAAGGAATGGCTTAAAAAAAGAAAAAAAATGAAAATCTAAAATTTTTCAGGTAACCTTGACCTTAGACCTTCAAATCATATTCAAGGTCAAAGGTCAAGGGTCACATTGTAATTAACCTCATATCTCTATGACTTATAGTTTTAAAGTTATAAGGTTTAATAGTAAGCACAAAAGCATTAAAGGGCAGTAACTCATTCAAGGAGTCACCATATCCTATTGCACTTGAATATAAAAGTTTTGCCTAAAATCCCATCAGATATTAGAGAAGTTTTCATGTCTTTTCGGTTTACGGTTTTGGAGCAATAGCAAATAAAATGTTTTTTGCACAAGGGGCAATAACTTTTAATAGGGTCAATCTTAAGGGACAAGAATGAAATCTTTGAAACAGTTTTAAGAGTACATATTAATGATGCATAGACATTAAGCATATGTTGAAAGCCAAAAGATATATAAAAAGAACTAAATTTCTCAGTTTTGGAATGACCTTGACCTTTGACCTTTACATGAATTTTAAGCTCAAAGGTCAATGAATCTTATGCAGTTGGGTGCATGTCTCTACACCTTCTCGTTTTGAAAATTTTTAATTATTAGTAAAATTCAAAAAGTTTCAGGGGCAATAACTCATTGAAGGGGTCACCGAAGACTTTCACAATGAATAGATTCCAGAGTCCTCTCAATTAGTCAAAGACTTTAGTGAAAGTTTCATATTTCTACGGTTTACGGTTTTGAAGTAGTAGCGATAACAAGGTTTTTCGCACAAAGGGCGATAACTTTTAATGGGGTCAATATTACGGAATACGAATTTAACCTTTTAAATAGTTTTAAGAATACATATTAATGATGCTAAGACAGTTTGTATATGTTAAGAGACAAAAAAGATATAAAAAGAGCTTAATTTCTCAATTTTGGAATGACCTTGACCTTTGACCTTTGCAATAATTTCATGATCAAAGATCAATGAATCTTATGCAGTTGGTCCCATGTCTCTACGACTTGTCGTTTTGAAAATTTTTAATTATTTGTAATATTCAAAAAGTTTCAGGGGCAATAACTCATTGAGGGGGTCACCGAATGCTTTCGCAATGAATAGATTGAAGAGTCCCCATAGTTAGGCAAAGCCATTGGTGAAGGTTTCATACCTTTACGGTTTACGGTTTCAGAGGAGTAGCGATAACAAGGGTTTTTAGCACAAGGGGCAACAACTTTTAAAAGGGTCAATTTTAGGGGCTAAGATTTATATCTTCTAAAGAGTTTCAAAAGTACATATTAAAGACATAAGATAGATCGCATATGTTTAAGGACATAAGAGCTATTAAGAGAAATTTATTTCTCATAATTGGAATGACCTTGACCTTTGACCTTGAAATGAATTTGAAGGCAAAAGGTCATTGAATGTTATGCAGTTGGTTTCATGTCTCTACGACTTTTTGTTTTGAAAATTTTTAATTTTTTGTAAAATTTATAAACTTTCAGGGGCAATTACTCATTGAAGGGGTCAAAGAAAACTTTCGCAATGAATAGATTGAAAAGTCTCCTAAATTAGTTCAAGACAATGGTGAAGGTTTTGTATCTCTACGGTTTACGGTTTCTGAGGAGTAGCGATAACAAGCTTTACAGTGAAAGGGGCAATAACTGCAGTAGGAGTCTAAGTTCAAACATAGGGGGTCGTTTTTCGGAATAACTTTAGATTTCCAGTATTATGAACTTAAAAGTTTTTCGATAAGTCTTACGGTCTCAAAAGCTAAGGGGAGAAATAAAATAAAAAGAAACAGAAGCATTTCAAGAGGTCTTTCCACAGAAAGGTGGAAAGACCTAATTATACCGGGTAATGATAGGGAAAAAGATACTGAACGAAAACAATAAGGTCTTCCATTTGAGACGAAAGATCTTAATGATAAAAAGAAAAATGAAAAAAATCAACACTCATTTATAGAATAAAAGACGGGTCTTACGCAGAAGACAGAAGGCCTTAATGAAGAAACAGAGTAAAAACAACATGTTCCCCGACTTCGTTTGTGGAACATAACTCCAAATGTCTTCAACGGAAGTGTCTATAAAATGAAATAAAAGGGTATAAAATTAAAATATTCAAAATGATGCTTGGTAAGGATAATTAGATAAAGATGAATTTGCAAGTATTTTAACATGTTCAATACCAATTAAATATCGTTTAAAATTTTTTTTCATACAATTGAAATCGCTCATGTCCTTTTAATTCTATCATGACCCAGAATGTATTGATATGCTTCTTATACTTTAATTAGTTTGATTGAAAATTCAGTTTTTTTTCTTTATTCAAAACCTACCCGAATCTCTTCTATTCTTTTTGTGAATTTGTCTTAGTTCTGTCTCTATTCTTTCCATGTCTTCTCCTTTTGTTTTTCTCTGAAGTTGAAGAAGACCAATGAGATGTCTGCAGAGATCTGCTACTTTGGTTTCCTCCAAGGTTTCAATTTTTTCTTTTATTTCAAGAAACATTTCATCTCCTATTGCTTTTCCTATAGTTTCTAAAGCAAAACTTGTGTCATTGAAGTTTTCTACGTATGCGTTATTAGTCATATATGGAATTGATGAAGGATCAAAATATCTCGTAGCTTGCATTTGAATTTTTTTTACTTCTTCCCTTTCATCTATACCAAGAGTACAAATGTGTAGCAAAATTAGAGAAAGCAATGTTATATCTAGGGTTGATATATCCAAGTTGGAATCTGCACTAAATTGACAACAACATTGATCAGCTGGCATCGAATTGTTACATTTCTTTGTATTTTTTTTAAACAAACAAGACCATTGTTCGCATGACATCACTTTATGATAATTGTTTTCAGATGTTTCGCATTGACAGCAGTTTTTACTTTCAAAAAGATGAAAAAGTGTGTGCTTGTTTTTTTCAATGAATACATCAATCGTTGGACAAGTGTCGTCTTTGGCAATCTCGTGCTTGATCCTTTTAATGAGAGTAAATGTCCCCTCGGCTACCAATAGTGAAGAAAATTTCACAAAATTTTCATTCAGCTCGGCGATGCTTATTTCGGTCGAATCCTCTGTCTTGAGGTTATCTTGATTCTAAAAATAAAAGTTCTTAAATTGTTTATATATGAAACATAATTCTTACAAATACATGTAGAAACATAATGTATGGTTAACATTTTTAAAATTTGTAGTTTGTCTGCAATCGTGAAAATGTTGAGTTAAATGCCCTTGGAGGACCAATGTCTTCATGTGTAAAAATTCTTTTTGAAGCGATTTACTCACGAAATTCTAGCCCTTTTAAAATAATTTTAATAAATAGCCCTGAGTTGTTCTTTAAAGTTCATTCTGTACTTTTTCGGAAAATGCAGCCAGTACTTTTATTAGAAGTTGATAGATAACGCGTGAAGATGAAAAAGTGTCTAGTTATTAAAGGGACATGCATGGACACTGTTACAACTAAAATCTCTCAAATTTATTTTTCTATTTTTTATGTTTATAAATACATGTCCTACGCTAAGGTATTTTAATGATTATCACTAATTTGAATTTCGATGGTCGAGATACAAAACAGATTTAGAGCTCCAAACTTTTGTTATTTAGCAATGCCCGTGCCATGTTTTTGTTTGCATATGTTAATAATATATATTATTATATTATTATATTAACTAATATATGTTCGTTCAAAGAAGATTTTTTTGAAAAAGAAGTAATTGCAAATGAGACAATTCTAGGGATTAGCTGAATCTCGTTTGTTAGAAATATGATATTTTATTTATGTGAACATAAACAAGACACGAGCCTTGTTTACATTCTGAAGAATAAGGTATGTATCTCCTGTATTAATTAACAAACGATGTTCAAATTTTTGCTGATCATTTCAATTGCCTTAGTAAAGAATTTTAAACATTAAAATTGGTTTTCTAAATAATCAGTTGAAACGTGTCCATGTCCTTTTAGTGTTTTTTTTTTTTATTCCGAAGTCACAATTTCTGCATGCGTAGCACAAGGCAACAAGAAGAAGGCGGGGCCTAATTTGTACTGGAAATATAACGACATATCACACAAATTTACAAATGATCAAAAATACCACTTAATGAAATGATTTGCTATTAAAAAAAACATTCGAGAAAATTGAAATATATATATAGATTTTTCTATAGAAAGTAAGCAATTATTTTATTTAGGTGGCCTATGCATTCAGGCAATAATTTTACATTCGAATTCATTAGATAAATATGCATGCGTTTGATTTCTGCAACATCATACTATTATATATTTTATTTATGTCGCATTACTAATACTAGACAAAGTATACTCTCTGCAGGGCATTCATGTCTTATGTGTTTCTAGTTTAAAATAAATCTTTCGGGATAAATCCGACAAAGATTAAATTTGGCCATGGTATTAGGTCCAAAAATATAAATTTGATGTAGCATTTACAGTTACATTGTTATTGTTTTTTTTCCAATAATTTTTTTCTTCAAATTTTTTAAATAATTTTATTTCAAATATTATAACATTTTATATACTGTAAGTTCTTATTTTCAGTAGCATAATAATTGATATGACTATCCACAAGGATATAAAAGAACTTAACAAATACCATCATCATATAGAATACATTCATCCCAAACACTGAGATATCCTGTTCAAAATACATCCAAATGCATCAAAACGTACAAAGTTCAAGTTGGCGTAAACAAAATAATAATTAAAGAAGCTTGTATAAGCTATCATTAAGGGGATAGAAGCAAATTTGCATGTTAACACTGGAACAACTTTGAGAGTACTGTCCAAAACTGATTAAATAGTAGAGAACTAGCTAGAGGAATTTTAAGACAGGACAAAGGGATCCGTTGCCCTTCTGGCTCTGGAAGTTTTTGCAGAAGAAGTGAAATTAGGACGGACCAATGTAAAAAAAAAAAGAAAAAGGAAGATTCAAGAGACATTCCAAATCTTATTCCAAAGACAAGTGTGAAACAAATTGTTTCTACCATTAATTCCTTTAGAAAGAAATTCAAAATTCACGGCCAAATTGAGGCACAAACGGGACTGTCATTCGTAGCCCTAGTACAACAGATAGAGAGAGAATAAAAGAAGGGGTTCTTCACAGTCGAAATAACAGACACCGTCATCCAAGCGATACCAGTCGGGACTGGAATGAGATGTTATCTGGAAGGCAAAACGGATCTGATGCTTGCTTCACTTCGCCAAATTTTAAGCGCACATTATAGGGAAAATCTGCCGAAAAACTTTACTCAAAACTGTGCCAACTAGCTCAAAATCATAAAGAATTATCGAATCGATACTCTAAGATGGGACATTAAGGTACCAAAAGAGTAAAATTTAATTTATGCATGAATCCGTGAACGCTTCTTTTACCCTGGTATGGCGGCAGAAATTGAACATTTCGTCACAAAAGTATGTTTATGCATGAAGGATAAACAACCCACCACCCCAGATTTGATCAGGCATACCCAATTAGGAAGAAATCTGGAAAAACTGCAGCAGAAAAAAATATTTCAGGATTACATTTTGGGATTTATATTTCCTTTAGTTATATACTTCATTGTGATCAGGGCCGAGAATTTGAATATGAACTTTTTCATGCTCTTCCAAAGTCATGTGGTATGCGACGATCCAGAACTACCCCTACCACCCCAAGGGGAAATAGCCAGGTGGAACACTTTCATAATACCCTCCTTGGAATGTTTCGTACTTTGCCTTTGCGATTCAAACACTGATTAGATTGATTGATTGTATATTGTTTAACGTCCCTCTCGAGAATTTTTCACTCATATGGAGACGCCACCACTTGCCGGTGGAGAGCTGCAAATTTTATCCTATAACTCGGCACTAAGGGCCATCGAGCAGGGAGGGATCTTTATCGTGCCAGCACCTACTGCGACACGGGACCTCGGTTTATACGGTCTCATCCAAAAGACCGGTCTCCACGTCCCACAGTGGAATTCGAATCCGTGACGTAAGGATTAGACGTCGCATTTGAATAACATTTTCTATGCATGTAATTGCACACAGAACAATTTGTCAGTATTTTCGACAACCTAGACTTGCTATAGATGTCATTTTTCAGGAGGAACATGGGAATCATGCGTATTTTAGCCATGTTGTTCTTCACTCCGTAGTTAGAAAATGAAAATGATGACTAATATGTTCTGTTGAGAAATGCGCTATTGTTTTATTTGTACAAGAAATAATTCATTGTTTACAAGTCCGCCGAATTCAAATCATATGTTTAAAAAATTTACACGTGCTAGACTTCGTATATAATCAGTAACCTGTGTCCCCGCATCGCAATCCGTGACTTCAATGTAACCGTTATCAAAATTACAAGCTTCGTGCTCACTTCAAAATAACCGAGTTTTTAAATTAAACTGATTTTAATCTAAATGAGTATAATTTAAAGAAACTATACCAGTTTTTAGGGGAAAGAAAATTCATTTCAAACCGATTTTTCAAACACAGAGAGTTCAATATTAGTGAGTTCGAGTGTATACAATTAAAGTTATAACATACCTGCATTCTTTTATTTTCTTCATCCTCCATGAAGCCCAGAAATCTTTTAATTTCATCGACCTCACTAAGATGTTTAGAAAACTCTTTTCTTTCCTTTTCATTTAGTCTCTCTTTCAATTTATTTTTAAGTATCTTACATCTTTTAGAAGGTTCAGGATCACTAAGATCAATCTCAAGCGAAGTAGCAATCTCTCTGTTCATATTTTCCGAACTAAGTATTGCATCTTCAAGTGCACCCCATTTCCAAATGAAAGTTTTCTTATCTTTTATTAAATAATCAGAGAGTTCCTTAAATCCGATCTCGTTTTCAATAAAACATGATGCTTCTCTGTACTGAAATCTTTCTGTATATGTTTTAATTTTATGTCTATCAACTCCCAAAAAATTAAGGACAACCAACTTACAACAGAATTCAACTTCAGGTTTTTTAGTGATTGGAATAGTTTGGAGATTTTTTATTGTAACATATTTATCACGATCCAGTAAACATAAGGCAGGAAGATTGATATACTTGCAAAAATTGAGGACGTCTTTAGCGTTTTGACACCCACCAATTGGAATTATTTGATAAGTAGTTATATCTGCTTTCTCTTCATTACAAATCTCCATCCCCCGACATTCACGCCTGTGTGTGAAGAGAGTTTGCACAACATCCCTATCAATTGGACCTTCGACTAATAAAACTTTGGTTGCAAACAAAAGGCTTCTCAGCGTTTCAACATCAGATACCTTAGAAAGATCTTTCTGAAGACCCACATTTCTAATGTTACATGAGTATTTCGAGTCTTTTGATTGGGTTCGAAAAAAAACATTAGTGTTATTTATTGTGATAGTATCGATAAAATACGGATTATGTGTAGAAACGATGATAGTTTTCTCTAATCCTTCCTGATAAAGGATTGCTCTCAAACGTTCAACCATCTGGGCGTGCATTCCTCTACAGGGCTCCTCTAAAATCAATGTTTTTATGTTTTTGTGTGCCAGAAGCAGAGACGCTTGTTTAGCTTCTAATATCCCCTCAGAAGTTTTTAACAACGGAAATGGATCAAACGAACCGTGTGTAACATATATTTCTGCTCCTTTCTCTTCAGCTTCTTTTTCCCCAGCTCCTATCTCTTTAGCTCCTTTTTTCCTAGCTCCTTTCTCTTCAGATCCTTTTCCCCCAGCTCCTTTCTCTTCGGCTATTTTTTCCCTAGCTCCTTTCTCTTCAGCTCCTTTTACCCCAGCTATTTTCTCTTCGGCTATTTTTTCCCCAGCTCCTTTCTCTTCCGCTCCTTTTTCTTCGGCTCCTTTCACCTCAGCTTCTTTAATATCAAATTTGAATTCTTCCGGATATGCCAAATACTTAAAATATCTTTCTTCTTTAGTCATATCAATTAAGTTTTTTTCTGACAAAAGTTTTGATATTATTTCTGCACGTTCACATGCCATCTTATAGTTTTTAACTTTATCTACAATTTTCCCACTTTTTGTCCATTGCACTATTCCAATTCCTCTAAGAGGCATTGTTGCAATATAAGCGTTTTCCAAATTCTTCCAATCTATTTCGTTTTCCTTCTCTTCAATTTCATTGTTTCTAGATTTTATTTTCTCTAAAATATGTGTTACACAGCTTGATTTTTTTCCCCGCCTAAAGAGATCGCCTAGTGCGTCTTCATTTTCTAACACGTTTCGAAGAAAACCTTTTATGGGTTTTGAATTGCAGCATTCAAAACTTTCACAGCGGAACATTTTCTTACACTCGTCGTTGTAAATCAAGACTTTATGAAATCTGCGGGGATCACAATTGTTTCCTTCTTTTATGAGACCAGAAATGACCTCTTCTGAATTTAAATCGAATTTGCAGAACACATACGCCACATTCTCTTCACTGAATGAATTAGTCACGGACACATTAATATCATTTGTCATGCATCGTCTAATCAATTCTAAAACGGTACTTTTTCCACAAAAATTTGCTCCAACAAAGAAATGAAGCTGATTTGCAGGTTGTTCATTTTCAGAATTTTCTTCTGCAGCTGCCTCTGTATCTTCTAATCTTCTCTTAGTTTTCTTTTTATCACCAGCTTTTTCTTCTTGAATGCCTTTTTTATTGCCAGATATTTCTTCTGATTTTCCAAAATTGATCACCTGCTTGTCCTTAAAATGGACAAAGTTTTCGAAAACGATTGCCTTTAGCATCTGAAAAATATACTTTACTTGATTAAGATGGTATATGTACGCTATTCTAAACTCCTTTCCACTCTAATTGTTGTAATGATAGATTATATACTGAGAGTAAATAGAAACGCAGGGTAAACTTTTGAGGTGAAAAAATTTTATTTTTTCTTTTGCATTTTCTATTGATTCTATCTAACGTTTAAAATCATCTTTTTAAAAAATGTAACCAAAATTTCATTTGACTTTGCCTCATAATTCGTTAGTTATTGAAACTGATATGATGATACCCCATAAAAGAGAAAATTAAAAATTCTCATTATCTTCAATGTCTCCTTCGCGCATCTGTCACAGCATTGTTTCTCCTTTGCATAGAGTTCATCAGTGTGTTTATCCTACAAATAGGGATATTTTCAAACCTTTTGAACAAGATAGCCCTTAGTTGAAAGAGACTATCTTTTGCATTTCAAACCCTATCTTCCACTCAGTCCCTCAGATTTTTACGGAGACCAGTCGAGTGGTTAAATGTGAACCTTTGCTAGAAAATCTTATTAAACCTAGGCTACAAAGAGTCAGAGGTAATCATGCCAAAAAAAAAAATAGGGAAACGGCATGCACATGCGCCAGTGAGAGGAACACCAACGTAAAGTTCAAAGATTCAAAACGCGCTATCATTTTCTTTCAGTTTTATGACGAATTTAATGATTATGATAACCTACTTGATTAATCACAGTTTTATGTTATTAAGGTGGTGATTAAACAGGTGGCAGGACGAATAACCAGATTTTGACGTGGCTCTGTTACGCGTCAACGTCATCGTCACGGTTTATTGAAACCAATTCAAGGCCCTCTTTGACGACGGTTCAGACGTTCTATGGGGAAAAAATTACTAGTGACTGCACAGTAAGCCGTTGTTGCCTTTGTCCTTACTTAGGCAACGTAAAATCCAGACCTCATGGGACTTCCGTCAACCGTAACAGAGTTGCAAGAAATGAATCTCGTCTACAAATACTGAAAACCAATATGTATACCTCAAGTGCATCATATGGTACAAGAAGATCGTTGAAAAACTTTTCATCTTCAAGTTGCATGTGTTTTTGGCTTTTTAGCATTTTTCCAACGTGACGTCATACATTTCACGGTTGAGTAATTCTGTGCACTAATTTTAGTGCATGGTAACCAAGATTCTCATCTGACCAATTTTTGTGATTTTTGGTCATGTGGTAAAAAAAATGTTGCATATTATGTTACCCTGCGTTTCTTTTTCCTTTTCAGTATATTATTAATTATGTTGCCTGTTTCTCTATATAGAGAATATTGGGGTTTTTCTGTACTGAATTTTACAAACCTTTTTATCTGATGCAGTGACAGAGAACTGTTTTTTTAAAGTATATACATGTAATTGAATATCTTATGCATAATCATATCTCTTTCGGGATGACATAAATACCGATGTATACGTATGTAATGGACTACAGTGTATACGGTCCGTGCGTTATGAATACATAAAAGGTATTTCAATTGATAATTTATCCTCTATTGATTCCTTGCTATTTAGTTTACACAAAACTGATCAATGCATTTAAACTTGTGTTTTTATATAGAACACGAAAAGCTATTTTTGGGGGGTTTGTCTAAGGTACAGGGAGAGAAAAATAAGATAGATAAAAATACTGTTGCATAATGTACAAATATTTATTGTCTCTCGAAAACGAGGGGACATTAAATCTCATTTGACTGTCAGTCTGTCCATCGTCTGTCACAAAAACTCTAACACTAGTCATAACTTTTGAATGAGAAAAGATAATTTTGTAATATTTTACATGAACATTTATTTGTGACAAGACCTTACCAAATATGCTTTGATTGTTTGTTTTGACCCCTTGCCATTGAAGTTTTACTTTTTCAAAAAAAAATTTAACATCAATTTAAATTGGTAATAACTTTTGAAAGAGGATATATTGGACTTAAATTATACATATATATTACCTTTGACAAGATCAGTTTATATATACTATGATTTTTACCCCGTGCTCTTTACCTTAAAGTTTGACCTACTTTTCAAAAAAAGATATTTTCTTATAACTTTTGATTGAGAAGGGATGTTTGCAAGCATACCATCATTTTTTACCCCTTGACCTTTTTTTCATGTTTGACCTAAATTTCAAAAAAGTTAACTTTAGAATGACGCAAGATAGGGCGTTCATATTTGACACAATATGGTCTAAATAATGTCATCCCATTCACTAAGACACTGAAAGCAGGGTAGCTGCAATAATGTAATCCGATTTTTTTTTATCTGATGTTTTCTGGAGAGGGCTACAATTCCACAGCATCTCCGTAATGGTGCAAAAATATTTTGTAAACACTGGCGACTGCAGGCAGAATAAATTGTTTTCACAATAAACATACTTCTAAGATGACGAAATTTTTATTCACTGTCGACATCAAAGCTTGTTAAACGCGAAAACCTTGTAAAATAAATCGGTGCATTTACTTCAGCAGCCATGACAGTTCACGCGTGACGTAGTGAGACTTGCGCTTGAAATTTAGAACAACTCAATAAAACAAATGTCGATGTTTATGAATAATTGTGATGAATAGTAACATTAAACATCCATAAATAAAATCATTCCATGTTTCATTTTTTTGGAAACACCGATATTTAAGCTTAAAATAAGGTAATTCTAAAGAAATCCGCTCCCCATAGATCCTTAATCTCATTGGCTGTCCCGAAATAAAATCTGTCAAGGTCAGTAAACATGGCGGATAAATTTAAGTTGTGATGTCGACATACACGAAAATTACTGATATATGGATTGTTCTATATATTTTTGGATCGATTTATGTCTAGGATATCTACATTTTGGAAGTCCAGGTAAGACATATAAATAAAATAGCCGTTTACTAACAATTTAAGCCGAAATCCGTGCGGGAGCGAATCGCTCCCGCTCTGCACCATTACGGAGATCCTAAGGAGTTGTAGCCCTCCCCCCCCCCCCCCGAAAAAAGGGCTACATTATTGCAGCTAAAAGCAGGGTACCACAACTCCTTCAATTTGTTTGTTTATGTTGTTATTCTTTTTTAAAAGATTTTTTAAAAATGTATCCAGTAATTGTAAAAAATAAAAGATGGAATCGTTAATTATTAACACTTTATAATATTTTCATTTCAATTATCGATATAAAATAAAATACAAGTAAAATGAAATACAATATATACGGAAGCCCATTTAGGACCTATCAAAAATATTTT